TCCTCGCTTCCTTGCTGCAACTTGGTAGGTGTCACTTGTAATTCCTCTTCAGGTAGGATTGTTGGATTAGCACTCCAAAAGAGAAGATTAACTGGAAACTTATCGGATATAATTTCCAATTTAGATCAGCTTAGAACCCTCAATCTTTCACACAATTTTCTTGAAGGCCCTCTTCCAATCTCCCTTTTTCATCTTGCCCATTTGGATGAAGTTGATTTGAGTAGTAATAAATTCGATGGGGTTTTACCAGTTAGCATAAACCTGCCTGCACTTCAAGTATTAGACATCTCTGATAATTATATTAACATACATAATCGTATATTAAACTAAAATATGTTAAAAATATATATTTTTATTTTAAAAAGTTACACTGTTATAATCGTCTCGTCAGTACCTTCAATTTTTATGATTAATTAGTTATGTAATTGATGAGATATTTATAGAAATAATTTGTATTGAATTTAAATTAAGAAAAAAGTTCTAGAAAATTAAATAAATTGTTCCTTTTTGAATTATTAAGTTATTGAACCTTTTTTTATTGCATAAGTTGTTGAACTATTTTTATATTAGTTGATTAAGTTGTTGCATTTTTTTTTGAATAGTTTAAATGATTGAGTTTTTTAGAAAACTGATTAAAATGACTTAAAAAAATGTTATCAATTTTACATAAAGTAGTAATTTAAAATTCTTGGTTTATTTTAATATTTTTAAAATGATGTAATTAAAAGATTGTGAAGAAAATAAAATAAAAAAGTTAATATCGTGTAACTCACTTAGTCATAGTTATTTACAAAAAAATCATTCTTACATATACTTATTAATAAATAAATCGTCGAACCTTTAAAAATTAGTTACTTGGATCATTTCAACCGAAAAATGCTACATATCATGGTAATATAAAAATGTTGTTTTTTTTATAATACGTAAAGATCTGATAATATTATTATTATATCGAATTTATATGTAGTTTGGTAATATAAAAATGTTGTTTTTTTAATAAATAA